TGAAAGTTTATAAAATAATTCTGTATTCCAGATAGCTAAAACTAGTACTAATCTCTCTGTCAGCCTTTCTTAAATTATTTCAATTAAGAGAGAAAAGCCAAACAGTATGGTCTTTTGGCTTTTGTTTGTTTGTTTGTTTTTTGGGGTTGGGTTTTTATTGTTTTTTCAAACAGTATGTTTTAAGTGCCCATTTAAAAAAATTATAGAATACTTATAAAAACAAAACATACTCAAAAAAACCCAATTCCATTTTAAGTATTTCAAGCATTCTATAATCTACCCTCTATTATAATAAAGCATTCAAATCCAAAGAGAAGAAAATTTACCAAATACATTGCTCTAATGCCTAATTCAGTATTGAACAGAATTAGTAGCAGATGATTTTGAAATTGAAATTCATTTACAGTTTTCAGAATAATTCTTAAGTTAGCACATAGATTTTAGCATTGAAAAAATTTCTTGTTATTTACTTGCCATAACATCAGAGAATATTGTAGCCTTGATGCCTTGGCTCAAAAAGGATGAGAAGTGGGAATAAAAAAGCTTACCATAATTACATGAGTTATTTCCAGAGTTAATTCCTCAAAAGGATGTTCTATGCTTTACAGCAGTCTTTTCTACAAGGCATCATCCTCAGTAATTTTCTGAAAACCACTCACAGGGCTGGCTGTGGGGCATCATTTTAGTAAGTGGGTGCATAATTTGTGCCACCGCATGCATCTATCATTATATATCATTTCTCTGAGCACATAATTACGAAGTCACCTCGGACAGAGCAGAGTTTTGCTGCAGCGAGAGTTGCAGACACAGGCTTAGCATTAACATTCTCCTGCTTTCAGAACAAAGATTCTGCTTTTCATACGTTTTACTCACACTAATGACAGGATGTCTGGGCTCTTCACCATGGCATACCACAGACGTTCAAAGTGCTCATTAGATGCCTTAGTTGATAAGCAGAGAGCCCACAATTAGAATTTCCTTACCACTCACTTGGCCCTCGATTGTCTTAAGCAAGTATGTTCTTTGCAGCACAATTATGAGCTGCTAGCTGTCTTACTTATCTTGTTTTATGCTTATGGTGCACTTTTCTTATAATGTGAGAGATAGGGAATAGTTTAATCATAATTAAAATATGAAATCATATCTCTCTATTTAAACCGATTATATTAGGGATCTCTGGTGGTGCAGTCTGTAGGGAATTCCACTGCCAAGCCAAGCCAGAGGCAGCGCTTCTCTGGAGGTTCAGATCCACTGGCAGTGCTAAGGGAGAAAGATGAGAAATCTCCCAGATTTACAGCCTCTGAAAAGCACCTCTGAGTTGGTTCCAACTCAATGACAATATGAGAGGAGTTTTTTTGCATACTTACATATAAAGAACAGGATAAGAAAGTCAATGAATGTCTAGTTAGTTAAAACAGCAATAATATGCACACCCACATTTATCACGGCTTTGTTCACAGTAGCAAGGAGTTGGAACAACCTAAGTGCCCATCAACAAATGAATGGATAAAGAAGCTGTGGTATTTTCACACAATGGAGTACTGCACTGCATTGAAAAACAAGGAACTCATGCAATATTATTAAAAATGGGTGACTCTGGAGGACATTATGCTGAGCGAAGTATCTCAGTCACAAAAGGACAAATATTACATGATGCCACTGTTATAAAGCAGGACTAACATCAGGGTTGGGGGAGAAAGATGGGTTAAATAATGTATACTGCATTGAAACAAATGCGGGAGAAAACTGTTTAAAAGGAATATGTGATTAGGTATTTTTGTCATGACAGGAGTACAGAGCGAAGGCTGCATAGTGGAGTGGAGGGGGGGTGTGAATTGTAAGACAATGAAAGAATTTTCCAAGGGGGAGTATACTGGGGGGGAGGAGGGTGGGAAGGGAGAAAAGTGCAACAATGAATGAATGGAAATCCAAAGTCTCTGTAAATTTTCATTGAAATTAATAATAAAACAATTTTAAAAACAAAATAGCAATAATGATTGGCGTTAGCTTCTTGCTGTGTCAGCTCTTTTAAGCAACATGGAGTTCTGATGGCCTGGTGGTAAGAAGCTGCGCTGTAATCCCAAAGATGTTCAACTCAGATCCACCAGCTGTCTGCAGGAGAAAGACGGGCAGTCTCCTCCTGTTTGATTTACTGCCTCTGAAACCCTGCTGGAGAGTCAGCTATGGGTCAGTTCTGACTCGGTGGCTCGCAACAACAACAGTGATTATTGGTTGTTGGTTAATTCTATACCTTGACTTTTCTGTTGGAAATGGGTTTACACCATAATGCACATCCAATCCTGCCAAAGGTTGAGAAGACCCAGGCACAGAAGTGCTTATAGCCAGATAGGCAAAAGCCCGTTTGTATTCTCTTTTTGAAATACTTAATTTGAATTCTGGCTCACCTGTATTTCTTCTTTCAGATTATATTTCATTTTTGTTTCAAATGTAATCCAAAAGTGATGAGCAGTAGTAAAATTCATTTCAGCTGTGGACAGGAAAGGGTGGGAAGGAAGAAGCATAGGGTCTGCTGATCCAGTAGTCAAATAATTGACCAAGGAGTAACTGAAAGTTGGCCAAGGTTATGGACACAGGACTGCCCCCATGTGATGGCAGCCTCAAATCTCCTTTGTACTTTGCTACGAAACAATTAACCAATTGTTCTGTCCAAAATGCAGAATAAGCATTCTTGGAAAGGTATCATGTGTAAGTTAATACTTTATTGCCTGTAAATGGAACAATAGTCTTAAAAAAATTACAGCCTCAGTTAGAGCCATGTACTGGACTGGATTCATTGTTGTCAAGTCAGAATCAACTCATAGGTGACCTTCCAGAGGATTTAAATCTCATGGGAGAAGACTGCTCATCTTTCTCTCTTGGAGCAGCTGGTGGGTTTGAACCCTGTTGGGTTCGGTTTGACAGAGCAACTCTTTATCAGTAAGGCACTTTTTACTAGAGCTCCCTAGCAGTCATAGCATCTTTCTCCCTTAGTGTAATTGGTGGATTTGAACCACCTGCCTTGGGTCGTCAGCACAACTCCTTAGCCATTTCCCCACCAGAGACCCATCTTAGACTAGTAAGAGGTTCCAAACCTCCTTTTGTTTTTTACCTCCATACCCTTTCTATGCCAGTATAGTATGAGTTCATAGGCTTACTGATTGGCTCAATGGCACATACCAAAAGCAGCCACCCTCTAGAGAAAGGTAAGCTCCTCCCATAAAATGTTAGCACCTCGGGAACCCAGTGGAGCATCATCGGACTGGAGGGTTCCCATGAGTCCCAGTGGCTGTAATGGCAGTGTATCTGGGTTAGGACCAAAAATTGCTTGAAGACACTATAATTATTTAAAAGCTGCACATGCAGCAAGTGAAGGTGATTGTGATTGTGATGAAGACTTGGTTCAATTATCTTAAGGTGAAAGCAGATTTCTGTGACATAACAAGGCAAGTACTAGCTGTCTGGAAGTAGGACACTCATAACCTGGGGACTTACTGTATTGATTAGACGGTTATTTTTGTTTCTAGAAAAACACATTTTTTTTTCTCCACTAGGAAAATCTACATAGATAGTCAAATCATAACTATCATCTTGCTTGGGAAATGTGAAATCAAAACTAAGAGAGTTGGTTGCATGCTTTACAGAACTACCCTGAAATAGATGTATTGATGTGGTGACTGGAGCAATCCTCTCAAGTATCGCTGGGATGTGAGCAGGTGGAGGGTAGGGCAGGCTGTGGGGCTGCTGTCCATACGGTCTCTGAGTTGTGATCAACTCCACATCACCTAGCAAGGACGGTATAATGAGATGATCTCTAAAGGCCTTGTGGTGAGGAGTTGTGCTGCCAACTCCAAGACAGACAGCTTGTATCCAGCAGCTGCTCTGCAAGAGAAAGATGCGCATTCTCTTCCCGTGTGATTTACAGCCTTGGAAAATGTACCGCAGGGTCAGCTATGCATCACTTCTGACTCAAGGGTGAACGGCAACAACAATACCTGTGAACCTTGGTCTGTACTCTGTTTTCTACAAGAAGACAGGTCTTGTTCAGAAATGGGCTGGATTGCTTCTAAGATTGCACTGGAGTTTCTTTGCCTCAATATTTGCCTGACTCTCAAGTGGCTTTTCCTGTTTTTAAAATTCTTTTTTAAATCAAAATTATCAATACACATAACTTTTAAAAGTACCGAAAATCTGTCTTTGGCACCATCTCTTAATTTCCATGGTAGGACCCTATCTAGGAGAATTGACTTTTCAGTCAGTCCTCTGGGTATTTCATTATGTATTTGTCTTCACAGATAAACATCACATGCTTATTTCTTAATTTGCTGATTTCTTACACTACTTGTTAAGATGCTTTTAATTGTTGTTATTTTCATTTCTTTTTTTGCTTTCTTCTTATTTTGTATCTATTCCACCACAGGAAACAGAAATAATTATCTTTTAAGCAGAAAAACATTTCCATGTAGGATCTTAACTCATTGCTGTCAAATCTGATCTTACTTGTGGTTGACTCTCCAGCAGGTTTCTGAAGTCATCATATGGAAGACGACTGACTGCGCTTCTTTCTCCTTCAGAGTGACTGGCTAATTTAACATGATAGGAAATTGTCAAGATGTTTCCTAAAGTAACTCTACCATTTTGCATTCCTATGGGCAGTCTATAAGGGTTCCAGTTGCACCATGTATTTACTGTTGCTATTGTTGTTGTTGTGTACCACTGATTCGGAGCTGACCCTCCAGCAGTTTTCAGAGGAACTTAATCTCATAGGAGGACATTGCCCATCTTTCTCCCATGGAGCAGCTTGTGGACTTGAACTCTGTGCCTTCAGGATTGCAGTGCATCTTCTTGGTATTGTCCGTTTTGTGGAAAAATCTTAGCTTTGTTTCCCCAACAGATTAAAATAGAACAAACCACAAAAACGTCACCATGGTCTTGACTTAACCCTCCTCAGTGGGTTTTCAATAGCAAACAAAGCAATGATTTGTGACTTTGTTTTCTTACAGGCTATTTGATCACTCCATGGAAGGATTCAAAAACTGGGAGTTCATGACCATCCATTGTTGGGGAGAAAGAGCTGCAGGTGACTGGGTCCTGGAGGTTTACGACACACCCTCCCAACTGAGGAACTTCAAGACTCCAGGTGAGTTTTCAGCTCTGTATTTCCTTTGGGCAGTGAAGTCCGTCGGGTGTAACTTTCTAAGAAATCTATCATTAATTACTGTTTTACCCTTTAAAAAAACAAGTAAGACTCCAGGAGAGAACTTTCCTCATGCAATTCTCTGCTTTGTGTTCATTCAAATTTACAATTTGAAAGATATTAATTTAAGGATAAAGAATTACTATTTGAAGCTCAGTGGTAAGAAGTTATGCTGCCACCCCAAAGGTACACAGTTTGAATCTATCAGCTACTCTACAGGAGAAAAAATGGGTAGTCTCCTCCCACACACATTAAAGCCTCTGACAACTGCTGGAAGGTCAACTGTGAGTCAGTTCTGACTCATCTGTACAAAGTACCAACAACCTTTGAATGTAAATAAAGGATAAAAGATGTCAGCTTCTGCGTGATGCTTCAGATATATGGTCCACGTTTTTAACAAACCGGTTTTGTCCTTCTACAATGGATTAAGTTGCTCAGTCACAATCCTTTGTAAAAAGAGACAGGCTTCCTTAGCAGTCTTTTGTTGTTGTTCTATATGTGATTTTTCAAGTCAGGCAAGAAGTTGAGCTTGGCTTATACTGGCTAAACTGGCTACCACAACAGAAAATGAATGGTGGCCTTCTGGCCCATGTGGGCCTGAGAGGCAAGGAAACGTTAAAACTCCTTGATGCATAAAATATGCAAAGTAAGGTGTTGGCAAATGTCTTTGCAGGCCACTTCAGACTATTGCCACACTCAGTCTGTTTTCATGCTAATATGAGAAGTTTCTTTGCAACTTAAAATAAGGGAAGGTGCAAATGCAGGTTGGGATGAGAAGGTGAATAGATTTGTATTAGCCAGCAGCAGCCCATGTTGCCCAGAAGGGAACCTTGCATAGGGCATGCTCAGTGATGTGCTTGGAACTCCTCACCCATTTGTGAGCACATCATCAACCTTCACATAAAGTCGTCGTTCTCAGTGCTTTTTGCATTCAATCTGCAGAAGATCCAGGCCTGAGGAAAATTTTACTGCTGACATCTGATTAATTCTCATTCATGATTGCAGAATGAATACCCACCCCATCCATTCTGTTGTGTTAAGAGTATGTACCAGCAGACACGGGGAAAAGAGACACACAGAATATTAAGATCAAAGTGGACATTTTACCAGATTTTGCCTCTTCATTAAGGAAAATTCCTCATTTTGAGAGTTTCTCTCTTCTCTCTCTTTCTCTCTCTCCCTCAGCATTCACCAGTTGAGCATTCTTTCACAAATACAGTCAACTGATACTGACTACATCAATCATTTTCTGTAACTGTCACCAGTATCCATTGAGTATCCATAAAGATGCTCAGTTCTGCAGTTCAAATCCACCAGATGCTCTGCTGGAGAAGGAGGGGGCAATCTCCTCCTGTATCAGTCAGATCTGATTTGACGGTACACATAAAAAATAATGCAATAAAAATAAAAACTTAAAAAAAATAAATTAAAAAATGATGCTCAATTCTTCTTAAACTTCCCTGCTTCCTCTTCCTTCTGCCTCTCGTGGCCTACTTTGGCCAAGAAGTGATTTTTAGGTCAGCTCTTTTATTTTCTTCCCTTGTCTTGCAATGTGGTATGTAGAATGTCCAAAACCTGGAAAGTCAGCACCTGCGTGGTAGGAAGGTTGCAATAAATCAGGACAAGAGTTTCATGTAAGAATACCAACATCTTTCTTTCTTTCAATAGATACCAGAATTTCGTGGTTGCCATGTTCTTACTCAGAAATTAAATTATTTTGAAAGCAGAACTGGTAGAGAAGGCATCTGGGTTAGAGTAGGCCTTCCTCTTTCCTCTCCCTCCTTCAGGTCAAGGTCATGGCTCTGCCATGGACAAGGGTCTGTTTATGGTTTTCATGGGCAATTGTAGCTTCATACCACACCCTTTCTTCTCTGATCAAAAGGCAGCTCCTAGTTGTCCTAGAATAGGTATTACTCTAACATGTCCTGAGATCTCAGAGGAGTAAACACTTAGTAAAATATGACCTTCAGTTACTGAAAATGTGTTGACTGCCGTGGTATAGCAACCTACTGTTATTTTGTTATGTGCCATCAAGTCATTTGCGACTCATAGCGACCCTATGTACAACAGCCTAAACCCTGCTCTATCCTGTGCCAGTCTCATTGCTTCTGATACACCCATCCCGAGTACCCCAGTCACTGAATCAATCCACCTCATAGAGGGTCTTCCCCTCCTGTGCTGTCCCTCCACTCTGCCCAGCATGATGTCCCTCTCTAAAGACCTGTCTCTCCTTACAACATGTCCAAAGTATGTCAGGCGACGCCCCAGAATCCTTGCCTCCAAGGAGCAGCCTGGTTTAACCCTCTCTAGGATGAATCTATTTGTTTTCTTGGCAGTCCATGGTACATTCAATACTCTTATCCAGCACCACAGTTCAAAGGCGTCAATTCTCCTTCTATCCTCCCTAGTCGTTGTCCAACTCTCTGATGCATAACAAGTGATTGCAAAAACCATGGCCTGTATCAGGCGCACCTTAGTCTCCAGAGAGACACCGTTGCTCTAGAGTACTTTAGAGAGGTCCCTAGCCGCAGACTTTCCCATACTATGACCTGGAATTTAAAACTATCATAAAACTGAAAATAAGTGACACAGCGCTTTATCACTAGGAACCAGTAAAGAAGCTCTGTGCTACAATATTGTTCTCCACAGGAACAAACTGCCTCTCGAGGTATATTATGGTGCATCGTGCTCAAGGGTCAAACATTAAGAATATAAATCTCTCGTCCATTTAACGAGGCAATAGTCTGTGCTTAACTTCCTGTGATTATCTGTTGAAAGCAATCTGCAGCATCCTAGATAATCTAACTAATTGCCATCAAGTCCCTTCAATGCCTGGTGCCCTGGTGTATCAGAGGAAGGCTGTGCCCCATAAGGTATACAATACTGTGTTTTTTAGGGAGAAGTAGAGAACTAGCCCTTTCTTTTGAGGTGTTCTGGGTACACTCGAACCGCCCCTTTGTCTGTCAGTTATTCTTACCATTAGATTCTTCTAATGCTATTTAAATATTCACATCCAATGACCTCCAATCGTATTGAATATCTTTTCATGCCGAAAGGGAGAAACCCACATTTTATCTGATTAATAACTTGAAGTCAAGAGACTTTAATAGAAACACATAATCTTCGTGTAGCCTTCTTTCAGCCCATATGTTGTTCCATGACTGGAAAAGGTCTGCATATATAGAGTTCAGACCTATGGTTAGTTTTAACTCTCTAATCAGTGAGGTTTAACAAGGAGCTGGACTGCTGTCGTAAAGGCAGGTGGTTTGACTCCACCAGCTGCTTTATGGAGGAACAATGGGCAGTCTCCTCCCATGAGATTTCCAACCTCTAAAAACCTGCTGGAGGATCGCCCTGAATCAGCTCCGACTTGACAGCAATGAGTTTTGATTAGAAACTCAGCTTGATATGTAGACTTTTCATAGTAAAATTAAATAGTAGAATCATTTCCAAAAATAAGGATTCCTTGCTGAGTTGACATTTATTCTTTTTCCTGCATGTTTTTAAATTATGTATTAAATGTATTTTTGAAACTTATTTTATACTGATTTATTTACAAACTTCGAATGCATGGTTTTTCACACCAGATATTTCCCATTTCCTTCACACACCCCATCAAATTGTGCGACCCCTTGATTAACTGCCCTGCCACCACACATCTTCACCCCTCTACTTCCACCTTCCCCTCCCCTTGGATCTTCATACTCATTCTACAATAATGGTTTCATACAGTATTTGTCCTTATGGGATTGAGTTAGTTCACTCAGCGTAATGCTCTCCAGTCCCTTCCAGGTTAGATAGTAACTTAGAAAATCATTCATTGCGCCTGCATGCTGTGTAGTATTCCATTGTGTGAATGTACCATAATTTCTCAATCCGTTCGACTATGGTTGAACATCTTGGTTGTTTCCATGTTCTAAAGGTGGTGAATAACTCTGCTTTGGGCATTAGTGTACAAATCTCCATTTGAGCCTCAGTTGTCATTTTCATGGGGTATTTTCCAGGCAGTGGAATAGCTGGGCCATGTGGGATTTCTATGTTCAGATTTTTAAGGAAGCAAATCCCAACAACAACAGTGTATATTCCTATCTTGCCACATCCTCTCCAACATTTCTTTCTTAGTGTCCTGTTACACGTTGTCACTGCTACTGGAATAAGGTGGTATCTCATTGTGATATTATTGATTTGCATCTTTCGCATTGCCAGTGATTTTGAGCATTTCTTCATGTTTCTGTTGGCCATTAAAGTATCTTCCTCTGTGAAAATTCTTTCCATTTCTTTTTCCCATTTTGTAATTGGATTATCAGTCTTGTTCTTGTAGAGGCCCAGGAGTATTCTGTAAAATTTAATTTGAGACTCTTTTCTGAGATAGCATTACCAAATGTTTGTTTCCAGTTGGTAAGTTTTCTTTTCACCCTGTTGGAAAATAGTTTTGATGTGCGTTGGTATTTAATCTTTAGAATTTCCCATTGACCAATCTTATCCTCTTCAAATTGTGCTGTATATGGCAGTAGATTAGGCTTTCTAATAAAATTTGTAATAAATGTACTTTTGTTGTTTGGAGCATTATGTTGTTGTTTTGCTGTGGTTCTGCACATTAGATTATTTTGGGAGGCAGTTTGCATTTATACACTGTGAATAGAACAGATTTTCTCATTGCTTAATAGAATGTTTTCGTGTCCATTGTCCACTTTTCTATATTGAATCAGTTGACAACAGCAAGTTAAGAAACTGAGGAGATAGTAAGTTTATGTTAGTAGGGGACGATCCCTTCAGAATAGGAGAATAAGAATGATTTCTTGTTCTTCTACTGTGCCATCGAGTCACCTGCAACTCATAGCAACCCTATGTACAATTGCTCCAAATTCTGCTCTATCCTGAGCCATTCTCACTACTCTGATACATCTACCCCATTAACCCAGTTACTGTATCCATCTCATCCA